GCAAAAGAATAATTAAATAACAATATAAAAAAAAAAATTTTTACCAATGAAATATTAAGTTTAATGCAAAGAAAAATTTAAAATAAAAATGAAAAATTGACCTTTAATGAAGACGGTGATAAATGATGGGATGGAGGAGGGGGAGAGGGTCAAAGCTGTTACGGTTAAAGGGGGAATCCTTTTCCATTAGACTTGAGGTAGTAAGCCCTTTTTTTCGGGGGTTATTTTTCCCTTTCTTTTTTAATCCCACTAGGACCAGCTTGAGAGTCACTGGCCTCTGTCGCCTTTCCCTTTTAAGATTTTCTAAAAGGGCCAAACTTTGTCATTATAAAGTCACCAGCACCCCCTTGCAATAGCGTGTTGGGGGTATTTTCACCCAAAAAGGGTTTGCAGTTCACCCCTTTGCACACTTTTTCCTTAATTTTTGGAAGAGCACAAGGGATTCCCACAAAGGGCATAGGCTTCTCAGGTTTAGCCCCAAACCCAAAAAATCTTTTTTAAAATTTCCATACTAACCTCACCCTTTTTACCACGGGGTTGGCACTAGAAGCTTTTTGGGGGGCCCCAGGGTGACTTATTTTGCAGAAACAACACAAAAACAGGGGATAAATTAAGGGCCCGAATAATCCTTAGATCCGCACATGCCGGGCTTGTAAACACTGGCACAAACGGGTTTTTTTCAGGCCACACGGGACGTCTCGACGAATCCACGAATCCCGGGGGTTTTTCGATCAAACAGGCAAATTTTTTGCGTTAAAATCATCGAATCCGGGATTTTATCGGAACCGATGCCATCAAATCCCGGGGGGTCCACTGTACTGCTTTCTTAGCAATGAATTCATTACCGACATGGCTGGGACCGGAACTCCGTTGTAAATGAAGAAGGCGTACTTAATATTAAAAAAAAAAAAAAAGCAAAAAAAGAAAAAATTTATTAAATTTTGGCAACAGTGGGCATATATGAGAAGATTTTAAAAAATTATGATGAGAAATAACTTGTGATAAAGGTAAACAGTGATTAAGGCAGGGAAAAAACTGTTACAGGCAGAACAAAAGAAAAAAGGGAGATAAAAATTAAAAAAAAATCCCTAAAAAACAGGAAAATGGGTTTGGGGTATCTTGTTCTTGTTTATTTCCTCTTATTCCATGGGGAAGGGGAATAAAATTTCTTCCTTGAAAGCCTGTGTGTCGAAGAGGTGACTAAAATCCCGGGGGGCAAGGGGGTTATAACCCCTTCTTCGCAACTTTACTTTTTTTTAAAAAGAAACTTTTTTTTTTCTGATTAGGTCCCCTTTCCCTCGTAAAAATATGCGGTTTTTTAAAAAAAAAAAATACTTATAAAGGGTTAAATTTGTACAGGGGACCCCCTTAACGATTTAAATCCGGCAAGAGGGCTCATCTTTTAGCGAAATAATCGTTAGCAATGTTTTTTTCCCCCATAAGAAATAAATGAAAAAATTATCCGTGCAAGACGCCCCAAAAATATGAAAAAAAATTTTTTTTTTTCCCCATGAATGTTTAATTTTAATACACACAAACTGAAAAAGGGATGCACAATTACAGACACTTTCTTTTATTGAAGACGGGGAGATTTTATGGGGTGGGGGAGGGGAGGCATTTTCTTCTTACTGTTTAAAGGGGAATCCCCTTCCATTTGGGCTTGAGGGACAAATCCCCTTTTTGGGGGTTTCTTTCCCCTTTTTCTTTTAATGCCACTGACCAGCTTTAAGTCACTGGGCCTCTGTCGCACAACAAATCTGTCCATAGAGCTCTGAAACCCCCCGTTCCTTCAAGACTTTCCTAAAAGGGCCATAACAATTTTTCATTGAAATATCACAAGCACGGGTTCAACACTGTGCAGGGGGATTTTCATCTATAAGGGGTTTTCGTTCAAAACCCCCACTCTCACACCTTTCCTTAATCTTTGAATAGGCACAATGGGTTTCCCAACTGGCAAGGCTTCTCAGGGTTGCCCCAAACCCTTTAAAATCTTTTTTAATTCCATACTAAATTTTCCCCCCTTTTACCCAGGGGTTTGGGACTGAAGCTTTCTTGGGGCCCATGGGCACTTATTTCCAGAAACAGCACCGAAAATACTGTAAAAAAACGAAAAATTCCGAGTGATCTTTGGGTTTACCGGAGGGTGGCTTAAAAAAAGGGGCGGGGCGCACATGGAGCTGGCTGAGGGGACATTTGGGCGCGTCTCGGACAAAACGTATGCGGGTTTTTAAACGTATCGCGGGGAAAAATTTTTGCGATAAAAGTAATCGAAAGCGGAAAAAAAAAACGCTATCGACCATCGTTATGGGGGTCCACTGTTTAAAACTCAAAAATTTTTAAGCAGGGCTAGTAAAACAGCGCTTAACTTGACCAAAATTCATTTATTTTAAAAACTTTTTTTTAAAACGTCACAAGTTACCCATTTAATTAAGTCCTTTTTTTGCATCATTCTGTAGATGTTCCCGAACAGAAGAATATCAAATATTTTTTCTATTGTTTCTACTGTTGTTTTTTTTACTGTTAGTTTTTTCCCGAAAGCCTAGGTCAGCATCACATCTTTACTTGCTGATTTTTCTTCCCCACCTAGTCCCCTAGTCTCAACAGTCTCAGCTAGGGTTCCAGGGGGGAAAGGAACTATTTAAAAACACATTGGGAAAAAAAAGAATTTTGACAGCTTACCACTCTGGCAGGTGTCTTCTGGATGCTGTGTTTTCTGTACAGGCTGGGGTTTCTCTTAGATGTAGCAGCAATATTTAAAAAATCATCATTGATCTGAGGAAACATACCCAAAAAATGCCCGATTTAGATTTCTTTGATTTGGAACTGTCATTTTTGTATCCCCCATGAATTTAAAACTACTATAAATTGGAACATGAAATGTATTGAGAATTACAGTCATTCCTACAGATTCACAACCTTAAATATTATTTGCAGATTTCCATTATCCAACATTTTTGCTGATGAATAACTAGTGAATAGTTTTCAGTTATTTGGTGTTTTTCTGGCCCCACCAACTCTCCGTTGCCCAAATCAATCTCTTCTGGTCACTATATGTTATAAATGTCAGTGTTTGTTAAACAGACTAAGTGATACATTTACACAGACATTATCCCTGCAACAAATTGAACCCTAATCTGAAAGAAAAATTTTCTTGTACATTAATTTGTATTATTTGTTGTTTGTAGTTTTCACAGAACCTTTAGAAGAGTGAACCACGTAAATTTATAGGGATGATTTGACTGTATTTGTAATAAATGTCCATTATTTTATGTTGTGCAGATATTTTGTAGCTCATAATGAAAATTAATATAATACAGTATTAATAGTTTGTTTTTTGCTTTTAAAGTTTATTCAATTAAATTGCTTATTCTTTAAGATACTCAGTTACAGTATTGTACTTCAGCAATCAATTCACTGTACAATATTTATTGCTGTTATTGTCATTTATTAACGTTATTATCATCATCTCATGGAAGGATAATCATAGATCACTGCTGAGGTCACTGCAATCTTTGTTTTTCAGAATGCCTGGTGAAGTGCACAAGACATTCAAGATTTTTTGTGGTAATCTTGCTGGAGCAGCAACAAAGGATGATTTACGCTATCTTTTCTCACAATACGGGCCAGTTATTGAGGCTGTTGTCATGGTTGGCAAGTTCTATGGATTTGTGGTGAGTTATTTTTTCAAGTTGGTTCTTGCATGATGGGCTTAATTATTGTTAAGGTTTTACTTTGTGAACTGCATGCTGTTGCTAACTTAAGTTACAGTTGATGCATGTACAATGTATACATAACTGTTTTTAACTAGTTTTACCACTTTATAGATGCATATTACTATAGATTAAGTAAGCTCAGTGTTTTTTAATTAGGAAAGTGTAATTACAAAAGATTGGTTCTATTTTTACTGTGTCCTCTGTTCACTGTTTAGTTTGTCGTGCAATTTTTTTTTTTTTAAGTTCTGGAATTTATAAAGAACAAAAAGGCACAATACCACTACTTTCTACTTCCTTCCTTCCTCTCTCTTTTCCTGTCCTCTGTCCTCCTCTTCTGTATATACTGGCTCCCTCACCTTCCAGTGTTGATGTTACTAGTTAATGATCCAAGTCAGACTGAAACTCATAAGCTTCTTTCTCCTGTGGGGCAGGGTTATTTGTGTATTTTCCTGGGGTTGTTTGTAATGATCACTACTTACTCCTGGATGCCATTCTAGCTGTTTGCCACAATATTGGTGAAAAAATAGTGTCATTGCAGCACTACTTTTTTTTTCTGTTTACAGTTGGCATTGTCTTGTTCCCCTCAGTTGATCGTGCCACAAAAAATTTCCATATACGCGCGCCCACTTTTTTTTTTTTTTTTTTTTTTTTTTTTTTTTTTCCATGGGGCTGTTTTCCTCCAAGATAGAATGACCAAAAAATGGAAACACCTTCATCACTCATTCAGTGACTGTCTTGCCAGAGATGTGCACACATCACAAAGAAACTATGCATGCTTGTTTGTCAATTCTAGGTACCTTCTTTTCTTTCATGTATGCACTTTTTTTAATAAATACACCAACCATTACGAAATAATATCCCCACCTGTTTTCAGCATCTCAGTCTTCCACCCCATCTGTCACAGCTGATTGTTCACCTATGCAATGCCTCACCCACTGTCTCTTTCATTTGCCTCTGGCTTTTCCCTACTCCTAACAGATACAATTACTTCTTGCCCTTGGCATGAGCTCACTCCTCTCTCATCGAAACATTTAATAATTCCTCAATCTATTTTCTCAAAATTTTCAGTACCTTCTACCTCTCAGCTGTTCATTCTGAACTCCTCAGGCTTTCTCAACTAATTAATATCTCCAAAACAGTTCTTTATCTCAGCAAAATTTGTTGATAATTGCTCACCCATTCTCTTTATTTTTTCTTTTGCACACTCTTGCTATTTGTTTAGCCTCTTTTTATCTCCTTCTTATTCTGTAATCTTTTAACATAGTAAAAATCATTCAAATAATAGCTTTTTCTCTATTAACACCCCTTTTTTGTTTTTACCTTATTTTACTCATCATTCCTCTGTTCACTCACACCTGCTCTCAACAAGCACAAAATTTTTGCTATGCACTGTTGACCTGCAATCTTAATCTTCACCTTGACCTCTTTACCTGTTTTCCTCTAGTCAATCTGCCCCAAATATTTGTGACACCTAAAATAATATTTCCAGATGCTGTATGACCCATAAAGGTTTTAGTGTTTTTCTTTTGATTAAAAATAAATAGAATATTTAAAAAATTGTGAACATTTGACTTGGATTCACTGAGCTCCCATTAGTAGCTATAGAAGTCCTATTGATATTTTTTAACGCACCCGGCTGTCTCCCACCAAGGCAGGGTGACCTAAAAAGAAACACTTTCATTTTTCTTTTTTTTTTGTTTAGTAATTTATAGAGGAGAAGGGGTTAAGGTGTGTTCATATTATGTTTAAATATGTGTAAGTTAATTATTAATATTTTAGAAGGAAAAAAGGCTGTTAAATAATTGCTTAAAAGTGTAATAAATTTTTCTATTAAATATTGTTGTACAACATGGTAATGACCATTAAACTAGGAAGAATGCTTATATATGTCTGGGTGGGCAGCTGGGCATGTTGTATAATGTACACAAAAGCCAGTACACTTAAAATTCCTGTCATATGCCTTTTATGAAGGGATGCAGGGAAACCAGTTAGCCAGACTTGAATCCTGGAGGTAGGAAGTACAGTGCCTGCACTCTGAAGGAGGGGTATTGATATGTTGCAGTTTTGAACTATAGTATCAGGGCCCCTCTGTCAAGACGGTGATGGTGGGAATGTTTCTTCTTTTTTGTGGGCTACCCTGGGCCGGTAGAAAATGGCCAGTGTGTTAAAAAAAAAAATATAGAAAAATTTGCTCTAATGTAAATGCAGAAAGTAACCTTAGGTAATAATTTTTTCTAATCAAAGCATTTTCTCCTCTCCCAATATGTTGCTGTCTCCATTTTGTAGATTTTATTTTCAAATTCCTGTGGTTCATGTTTTGTTATTGTGATGTTTAATTGAATGCACAGTTAATGTAGAGAAACTTTTGTCAATCATTTGCAGAGAATATTCGAGCATATAACAAGACATACTCATATTTAGCAGTGTTAATCTCTTACTATGCAACTTGTATATAACATTTAAAAGTCGATGATGTCTGGATAATAAAAATTAAATTAATGTACAGTATAAATGAATGGATAAGGTGCATATATACATGGCGTGTTACAGGAGATTTTTGCATGGTTTATTTTGCATCAAGCACTTATGTATATACTGTACATGGGTGGTTGGTGAAGAGTTTGCATGACTACCTTGCATCAGTCAACCAAGTATATACATGGGTAGTTGGGAAAGAGTTTGCATGGACTCCCTTTTTTTTTTTACATTAGTCAACCATTTTAAATCCATGTACATATATACAGTGGACCCCCGCATAACGATCACTCCCAACTCGACCAATTATGTAAGTGTATTTTTGTAAGTGCTTTTGTGGGTGTATTTTTGGGGGTCTGAAATGGACTAATCTAATTCACAATATCTCTTATGGGAACAAATTCGTCTATAAACGGCACCCAAACAGACTTCTGGATTGAAATAATATCATTACCCGGGGGTCCACTGTATTTGGGTTTGGTCGGGGGGGAAGTTGAAAGGGACTACCTTGTACGAAGCACTCACATATATACAAATAAGAATATACTTTAAAATCCAATATGCATAACTAGAGAGAGAACTGTACAAGTTTTTATAATTTTTTAGAATAGCTAGGCCTTTCATATTTATTTTTGTCTATCTCATGAGAGTACGAGTATGGTATAATATTTCATCACTTAGTAAAATAAAACAAGAGCAATATAAATGACTTTTTGGGCTATTTAACATTAGTTTTCAGTGTTGAAAACCATATTGGAAACCCCAGAAAATGGAACTTTATAGCTCAAACAAATACCTGTTCATGTTTGTTACTGACAACAGTAAAGAAGAAAGACATAGGTACAGAACAAGCTTTCTTTGTGACAGTGTTTCTCTCTCTCTCTCTCTCCTCTCTCTCTCTCTTCTCTCTCTCTCTCTCTCTCCCTCTCTCTCTCTATCTATCTATCTATCTATCTCTCTCTATCTCTATATCTCTCTCTATCTCTATATCTCCTCTGTATCTCTATAACTTTTCTCTGTATCTATATCTCTCTCTCTATCTCTATATCTCCTCTCTATCCTATATCTCTCTCCTCCTATTTTCTCTTCTCTCTATTCTCTCTCTCTATTCTCTCTCTCTATTCTCTCTCTCTCTCCTCTCTCTCTATCCTCTGTATTCTCTCTCTCTATTCTCTCTCTCTATTCTCTCTCTCTATTCTCTCTCTCTATTCCTCTCTATTCTCTATTCTCTCTCTCTATTTCCTCTCTATTCTCTCTCTCTATTCTCTCCTCTCTATTCCCTCTCTATTCCTCTCTCCTATTTCTCTCTCTCTCTATTCTCTTCCTCTATTTTTCTCCTTATTTTCTCTCTCTCTATTTTCTCTCTCTCTATTTCCCCTTTCTCTATTCTCTCTCTATTCTCTCTTCTCTTTCTCTCTCTCTCTATTCTCTCTCTCTCTATTCTCTCCCTTTTCTCTCTCTCTCTTCTCTCTCTCCTCTTTTCTCTCTCTATTCTCTCTCCTATTCTCCTCTACTCTCTCTCTATTCTCTCTCTCTATTCCTCTCTCTATTCTCTCTCTTATTCTCTCTCTCATTCTCTCTCTCTATTCTCTCTCTCTATTCTCTCAATTCTCTCTCCTCCTCTCTCTCTTACTTCTCTCTCTCTCTTCTCTCTCTTCCCCTCTCTCTCTTCCTCTCTCTCTCTCTCTCTCTCTCCGTCTCCTTCTCTCTTCTCTTTTCTCTCTCTCTCTCTAACTTAAAATTTCTTACAAAAATTACCAAATGTTGTCCCTTGAAGTTATTCCCCACCATTCTGTCTTCATTGTAATTAATTTGCTAGACCTGGCTTTTACTTTTTTTTCAGTATTTGCAGTTGAAATACTGTAAATAAACAGTATTTTACAGTATTAATATAGGCTTTGTGATGTTACATGATTAATTAATTTCTTAATTTTAATTAAAATTCTTTGCATTGCACTCATTACCATTTGTTGCTGAGTTTTCAGTGAATTTCTGTAGTGTTATATCTCTAAGCATTTTGGTTGTTATCCATATATTGTAGTCATCATGAGTCTGTGTGAACTCACTCAAATTATATTACTGTAGTTCTTAACATACATAGAATCATTCACTTCAAGCTTCTATAATTGATTTCTACTAATACTAAACAATACACTATTACTCTTCTACTTTGTCATTAGGGAATATGAAGTTCAATAAATTTTTGTGAAATGTTGGGGCTTTGTCCCCTTTGTAAAGTAATTATTAAATTTTTGAACAAGCCAGTTTGGTAACCTGTTCTTCTGTAAAAGAATGTATGTAGCCTGTCTCATGAGGACTTGTATCATCATTGCACTTGCTGATTTTAATAAGTTGGTGCGTCTTTTTGAGTTTGTGCATGTTGCTGTGTTTCCCTGCAGCACATGGCTTATGAGGAGGACGGCTGGAAGGCAATATGCGAACTTCGGGGCTACAATCTTCATGGTAAAGGTAAGTTGTTGTAAATGTATACCAACATGCCAGATTGTCCTATATTTAATGCATTAGCTGTTTCCCGCTATGGAAAGGTTGCCTTCCCTTCCTCCCCTGTCTTTCAAAAAGGGTATGGACTTCATAAGTTAAATGACCCACCAGACTGCAAAATCCCCAGCCATCCTTCACAGTGCAGACACTGCCTTCGACCCCAGCAAACCAGTTTCCCAGAATCTTTTCAAAATTGTTAATTTTTCCTCACACTAACAGCACATTGAATCCCAAAAACTGATCTCCCTCACTTCCTGCAGCCCTTCCTAGGATGTCCCCTAAACCTGCCATCCACTCTGTGTTTACAGAAATTTTGGTTAAGCAATATTGCTCCATTCTAAATGGTGATACTTTATCATAATATTAATGGGAGGTATTGAGTAGATGGCAGGAATATTTTGAGGAACTTTTAAATGTCAGTGAAGAAAGGGAGGCAGTAATTTCGTGCACTGGCCAGGGAGGTATAACATCTAAAAGATGAAGAAGAGCAGGATGTGAGTGTGGGGAAGGTGCATGAGGCATTACATAGAATGAAAGGAGGTAAAGCAGCTGGAACTGACAGGCACATGACAGAAATGTTAAAAGCAGGGGGAGATATAGTGTTGGAGTGGTTGATGTTTTGTTTAATAAATGTATAAAAGAGGAGAATATACCTAGGAATTGGCAGAGAGCATGCATAGTTCCTTTACATAAAGGGAAGGGGGACAAAAGAGATTGTAAAAATTATAGGGGAAGAAGTTTACTGAGTATACCAGTATTACGAATAGGAGCTTGTTTTTAACCCTTTGAGGGTTTCAGACGTACTAGTATGTCTTACGCGCAGGGGTTTTTGACGTACTAGTACGCACAAATTCTAGCGCCGTCAGATCTCGCGGGAAAAGGCTGGTAGGCCTACATGTGAGAGAATGGGTGTGTGGGGTCGGTGTGCGTGGTAGAAAAAAAATCTGGGACCGGGGTTTGCTTTGTGGGAAGCCATTTTATAAAAATATCCCCCTGCCTGGGGTAAAAGCTCCTCACCCCTCGGCGTTTTGGGACATTTTTTTTCCCCAGTCAGTTCTAAAAAAAGGGAAAGGGCCAGGAAGAGGGTTTTCAAGGTTTTGGTGAGGTTTTGACCGAAACTAATGACCAAATACGGAAATATGGGAAAACCCGAGACCCTCCCCTTCCCCCTCTTGCGGGGCCTTTTTGTTCCGTTCAGTTGTCCAAATCCAAGGGGAAACTTCTTTTTTTCCCAAAATCCCAACTCAATGAGGATGGGTGAGATTGTAGTGAATATAAAATACAAGCTCTTCAAACTATTTCCCAGTATGTAGTGAAGTGCAAATTCCCAGTGAAGCGTCATATATCGACTTTTATGCGCTCTGGTAGTGTGCCATTGCTATTCCAAGGGGGAAGGAGTGCATCTGGGTACACCTGGCTGTAAAACGGAAAAAAAAAGAAAATAAACGATTTTTTACTGTTGAAATTGGGAGGAAAATGTGCATGGTGGTAGTGGTGCCGGGGGTGAGGCACCAGCAGGGGCCATGCTGCCCCCCACGCCGCTGCCTGCTGATCAAAACAAAGGCCACCATCCCCCCCCCCCCCACCCCCCCACCACCTCCACAACCACAACCTCCCAACCAAACCACCTTCATCGCCAGTACCCACCAGAGCCGCACCTGGGATTGGAGGAAGGTCAATTTTGTTCCAAATGCCCACCATTTGATGACGCCAAAGGGAAATACGGCCATCTTGTACATTTGGGAAAAAAAAAACAATCCACTGAACTGGATTTTTCAAGTTATTCTTTGACGAACCACTGAGGGAAAAGTTTGTATGGAAAGAAAACACTATAGAGTACACCATGGCAAACAAATTACTTTCCCCAAAAATCACGTTACACCGGGGGAAGGAGGCAATGTGGCTGAGTGTATCTTTTCTTTGCCACAAAAATGCTTACCCACATTGTAAAGCAAAAGTGAAATCATACTGGTCAACAACCTGATTGCAACCCCCCCAGGTTTCAGTGATATAATGCCGTAAACGTTGTTAATGTTATGTAGCTTCCTTCTCAGACAAAACCCCCCGACAGAACTGACAGGTTATTTTAAGATTGGGAAATTTGTTTGTGTATCTGAAAGAAAAATTAGTAAATTTTTACCCTTCAGGAAGTTTGAAAGACGAGTCTTTGATTCTTTTAAAAGGAAAAACTCTCTTTCGAGAGTACATACCAAGCAAGAGGAAACGCTTTGGTATAAAGTTGTTTTTGCTTTGTGATTGTTTTATTGGGTTTGGGATGGATATTATTTTGTACACTGGAAGTTTAAATGCAAAATCCGGAAGTTATGGGCATCTCAGGTGATGTGGTTGAAAAAAGATAGAAACCTAACCCTTTGGGAAGGGGATATATTAATTTTCAGATAACTGGGCCCAAACCCTCATCATGATTTTTTGCGGTGACATGACGATGTGTGGGCACAGTGGTCAAATCAGAAACATATGCCCAGGTTTTACGCTGGGATTAGGGGTGAGGTTTCAGGCTTTGCTGCCCAAAGACTCATGGCTTTCAGTGGCACGACAAAAAAAGATGTCACACTGTGTCATCGTTCCCCTAATGAAAAAGGCGGACAGGGCAGGCAGTAGAGAGAGCAATGAACCCCTTCTAAAACCCGCAGCTGTGATTATTACCCTTCAACATGCGTTCAGTGGACAAAAAGTACACAGTTGGGTTTGCTGATTGTTTTTGCAAGGTTTTAGTGGTCATCAAAGTTTTTCCTCTTCTGGACTTTCCATGCTCAAGTTTAATATGTATAAGATGAGGACCAGAAAAACCAAACCACAGTACGGCAAATTTTTTGTTGTCATCGCAAATGTATTCAAGTCCAAGGAACAGCCCCAATTGACCGCCCACCAAATTATCAACAACTACCCGCCGTTGGAGCATGGTGATCACTTCCCGGTAAAAATGCTTTCTATGCTTTCAAGAAAAAGGGTCGAAGAGGTGTTAGTCTGTGCCTAAAAAAAAAACGCCACAACAACGCAGAGACATCGTTTTTTTTGTTTGGGGGGGTGAAAAAACCCCATTTCATGACACCATGTTTCAAAGATTTTACAGGTTTCAGAACTTCTAAAAAATTCCCCCGTGACGTATATGTGTATTAAAATATAGAAAAATAGTAATAAACAACTTTCAATCGTTTGTTTTTGTAAAATTTTTCATAAACAAAATAGAACTCAGGGAGTAAAATGGAAAACGCGTCTGTCTGGCGCTCACCGATGGGGATCGAGCCCCAACACGTCTTGCGCGAATGCTCCTTGGGTTTAGGCTTAACATGGATTAATTTAATTTAATTTTTTAAAAAAAAAATAATGACAAGTGTTTATGCCCTTTTGTGTGTATTGAAAAAAAAATAATTACAAAAAAACTGATCATGTTTTGGCCCCAGAGGCCTAAAAGTTTTAGAAAAAGAAAAATTGAAAAATAATTGAAAAAAGTACTAAAAAAATAAATAGAAAAAAAACTGGGTGACGGCATCGGCGTGTTTCCCGATGTTGTTAATTTTGGCAAAATTCACGCCTCCATATTTCTGTAATATTGCGGTAAAAAAAAATTTTTTTAGCCCATAATGTTTATAAAAAAAAATTTTTTTTTTAAAAAAAAAATTTTTTTTTTTTTTTTTTTTTTTTTTTTTTTTTTTTTTTTTTTTTAAATTTGGGCCCCCCTGAGAGGTTTCGGAAGGGGCTGTCGCCCCCAAAAGGGTTTTAAAAAAATTTTTGTTTATCCCGGGTTTTCTTTCTTTTCCTCAAAAAAGGGGGGTCTCCTTTTTTCGTATAAATTAACCCTTTAAAGTCCAAAGTATTATACGTTTTTTTAACTCTGAAAGTATGTAAAAAAATTAATCTTCTTTTTTTTTTAAATTTGAAAAAGTGTAAAAAAATTTTATAACTTTTTTTTTTTGTTAATTTGAAATATTAAAAAAAAGAATTTTTTGTAGCACTCGAATTTGAAAACGATCTGTTTGGGCCCTTTTTTAAGGGTTATAAACCAATTTTTTTATATCTCAATTTTCATCAATCTTCAAAACTAGGGGTGAATAAAACAAGGTCATCAATTATGTTATTTTTTAATAAACATACTTCTCTAGAATATTGAATAAGAGTACATTCACTTTTAAATATTTTGGGGCCCCGTTAAATCATAACAGTTCCAATGCTTAAAATATATAAAATTGTAACTCTGTCTTTAAAATAGAAATCACTATTAAAATTTCCTCAAGCTCAGGTGGGGATTTCTTTTCAATATCTGAGAAAACTTCATTCCCGGCATGCCCCGGGCCTGGGAAAAAATATTTATATATTTATATAAAAATTTTTATATATATATATAATATATATATATAATATATTTTTAAATGTATGTTGTTGTTGTAGTATGTAGTATGTATAGAAACACAGTAAGCCAATTTTTTGAAACAATGAGGGACCGGCTTCTCCAAAAACAGGGTAGGCGAGGCAGATTTTATGTAGAGTAGACCTGTCCTCAGAGCTTGCCCGGTGGTGATGCTGGGAACAAGCCCTTGGAAGGGAGTAACTCGGGAGACCAGTAGCCGCCCAAAATTTTGTGTCCTTAACAACACATTCCGAATAGGTTGAGCTTACCTAATTAAACCTTTCAAAAGATGAAGGTGAATACAAAAATATACGGATCCCCGCGGCTTCAATTTAGCTTTACCGAAGCAGCTGGCGAGGTATTTTTTTAGATAAAAAAGAAAAGAAAAAATTCGATACATGTAACAGCCAGTAAAGGGGTGTGGTAGGGTTATTTTAAAGAATTAGAGGTAAAAAAGAAGGGAGGTTTACGATGGCAAAGGGGGCTTTAGAGGGGTAGGGGATATGTGTTTGTGTTTACTTTTAAGCTATATGGAACAGTTTTAGATAAAGGTGGGAAAATTTTCATTGCATTTATGGGTTTAGAAAAGGCATATGAT